GATTAGGAGCCCTGTATTTGATGTAAGTTCACTTAACAAGATAGCTGTGAGACCTTACATCAAATATTTAGATATCAGCAATCATAGAAGAATTTTTACCCTATTAAGATACAACGCCTTACCCTCAGCCATAATGGAGGCCAGATTTACTAGATCATTGAGGAAAAGTTGTATATGTGGGATGGGATCTGATGAAACATTGGAACATGTAATTTTCGATTGTCTTATATATCATAATATCAGGGAAGTTTTGATCAAGCCTATAGTTAACTCCTTTCCAGGTCGTAATAGAAGGATACTTTTGTCAATTATGCTGGCAGGAGATAATCAAAAGCTGACTAGGATGGTTGCCAAATTTGGTTGGTTGGCATACCAAACTAGGAAAGAGATAAAGGACAGATAGGCCTAAACCTAATTTTTGATCACAATTCTGATTTTATTATTTCTGTATTTTAAAGTTTTTAGATCCTATTTATAATTTTAGATGCCGATATATTTTATAATTTTACTGCTCCTGTAACTGTATTTCCATGTCTTTTATTATACTGGTCTATGACCATAATAAACTTGATGATGATGAGTAAAACAGGAACTGGTGGTGGTGGGAAGTGCCATGAAGTCACAGCTCACACTGACATATATATGAAAAATTGTTAAAATGTTGTTTGAGAACCTGTATTTATTTGTTATGTTCTGAATTAAAATCTAATAAAATATTATGGTTTAAAAAAAATGAAGTCACAGCTAACCTATGGTGACCAGTGTTCCCTCTAAGCTGAGTCAGTGTGAGCTAGCTCACAGTATTTTAGCCTCCGGCTCACACATTTTTGCCTTAGCTCAGGAAGGAGGGCTCCAGAGCAAACTGATTTATACAGGAGCCAAATCGCTTGCTCACAACTTTAATGCCAGTAGCTCACAAGGTAGAATTTTTGTTCACAAGACTCCATAGCTTAGAGGGAACATTGCTCGGGACTCAGACCTCGTCTTGAGGACGACAGACTTCGTGCCACTGTCCGTCCCCCCAAAGATGCGCCCCAGGAAAGCAGAAAGGGGTTCCACGGGGAGTGAAAGGAAGCCGCCGTCTTCCAAGCGCCGCGGGACTCAGGAGGCGTTTCCTGGTCATCCTCGTTTGCCTGTTGCCAGAGGGGAAAGTGATCCTCATCCTCTCCGACAGGAGGGATTACTCTCTTAATCGGATATTGTTTTAAATTGAACTCTCTTTGTAACACCTCCCTGCATTTGGAGTGTAAAGACTTCAGTGCCAAAGCTTATTTTTAAAGTACCACTAGACTCCCCTGTCATTTTTGTCTGCTAGGGACCAACACAGACATCCATTTGGAAAAATCATCACGGAAGACACGGATTAAAATGTGCAAAACACTCCAGTGGCAACCAATGTTCCCTCTAAACTGTGGAGTCTTGTGAGCAAAAATTCTACTTTATGAGCTACTGGCACTAAAGTTGTGAGCAAGTGATTTGGCTACCGCATAAATTAAGTTTGCTCTGGAGCCATCTTTCCTGGGCTAAGAAAAAGATGAGTGAGCCGGAGGCTAAAAAACTGTTAGTTAGCTCACACTTACTCAGCTTAGAGGGAACACTGGTGGCAACATTCCTTCACTCAATTGCTGTTCGTTTAATTAAAAAATACACACCAAGTATCAACAGGTTTTATTTCATATGTAATTTATTCCATAGTGTCCAGTTTGTATTTACTTCCTTAGTATGGCTGCATTCATGTTTAAAATCAATGCAAAGTTATCGCATTACTGCTGGCCAACTCAGATGACAAATATAAATATCCCCATTTCCCTTCTGTACAACATAACCAGCACAAGTTTAGAACTTCTTTTTCTTCATCGCCTTCCAATTTCCCTCTTGCTCGGCAAGACTGCCAAAGAGTTGTTTCACTTTTCTTTTTCTTTCAGAATCCCTGAAAATAAATACAAACAGAAATGAAAGCTTTGATTTGAAACACTGCGATGTTTTTAAGCTAAGCTGGATCCTCATTCAGCACCTGGACTCTGAATATCCATGGGCACTCCCCCGCTCCATTTCCGATCTGAGACAGTTCATACATTCAATACATAATGTACACAGTCCCTCCAAAAATAATAAATAATCCCAACAGGGACCATCAAACTCTATAACAGGTTGAGTAAACCTCTTAGGAACCAAGATGAATTCAAAATACATGGGAATGGCATTTTTCCAGCTACCACCTGAAAATGATGGTGAAAGAGTTTTTCCTTCTCATATGAAACCCCCCCCACACACACCTGCCCTATCTTGGCCTTCAAAACATTCTTAGGCATTAATACCATACTGCAGATTAAATGCCAGTGGATGGGGTCTACTGTAGGAGTCCCCCAATGTGGCTTCCGATACCCCTTTCCTCTGGTGTCCACCAAGTAAGTGGAGCCAACGGGGGCTTTTGCTCAGCGGGGCTTCTCATTTGCCATCGGGGACCTGACTGGGCTGTGCAAATTTTTAAAAAGCACCTTCAGTGGCATTTGCCACCACAGCACAAGGATCTTCACTGTGTGACTGAAGGTGAATATGCAAAAACATATTTCTAAAAGGCAGCCTGTTAAACAGAACGTCTGCTTGAAATTGTGGAAGAGCAACCATCAGAGTCCTATATGACCTCCCTGACAGTTTGGGTTTGGCTTTGCTTCCTGTGCCAGCCATTCTGTGGTCACGTCAGCATCCCAAAGGTGCCCACCTGCTCCAGGAGGTTGGGGACCTGGCCCAGTGGGCACTCCCACCTTGTCTAATGGAAGGTTCCTCAAACACCATGGCCGAAGTGCTCAGGGGGACAGTGATGGCTGAAAACACGAACTTCCTGAAGAAGCACACACTGGTTCATGCAACACAGAAGTTCAATGGAACCTCAATTTTTCCAGTTTGTGCCCACCCCTAATGCATAGTCATAGCTGAGATTTGGCTTCCTTTTATTCTGCCTGATGAGGTAAACATGAAACCTTGTATAGAATTGTGATACAAGGTTACCTGTATCTACTGTATCTACTGTGCTCTCTCTTAATTGTCTCAGGGAAACCAACCACAGCTAAAAGCAATCATGCATCACCTTTCCGTGATTTCTGCAAGCTGCATTCTGGCAAGGAACTGGTTATCTCTGCGAATCTCACGGACGGCTCCTTTCAGTTCACGTTTGTGCCTATGTATCAGTCGTTTTCTTTCCTGCTCTTTCTCATTGCTTCCTTGCTTCCTTCCAAATTCAAGGCTGAAATTACAAAGTACATAATCAACACACTTTTCTGCTAGACTTTGCTGGAACACGTTTTTACAATAGAACTTCAGTGCCTTCCAAATTCCGGAGACATCACGAGAGCTCAATGACAGAGCATCTGCTTTGCACACGGAAGGTCCCTAGGCTGAATCCCAAGGATTTTGTGGAACCTCCTATAAGAGGATCCAGCAGCAAGTAGAGATGCCAGCCTCCAGGCGGCACCCGGGGATCCTCCGCAATTACAGCGCCTCTTCAGACTACAGAGATCAGTTTCCCCTGGAGAAAACTGATTGCTTTGGAGGGGCTGTGTCAGGTCCAACTGACCTTGGGGTTCGCTTCAGTAGGGAAGTTTGCAGCTAGCCAGCAGACAGGAAACTCTCGGCACACAGCAAATACATTTTAAAAAAAGCTTGTTTCATTTAACTGAGTAAAAACATTCAAACACTCAGGATGTATGCAGTGCAGAAATCATCCGACCTATGAGCAGTTGGCAGAAAAACATTTGAATGCGAAGGTAAGTTAGCAATTCTTAAAAGGGAAGCTGCAACTTCTTACATGATAAGTCCTCATAGACAGTTCCGTAGTAAAGTCACCACAGAACAGAAACCAGTTGCATCTCCGGAGGCAGCTTATCAGCTCCACACCCCAGTATACTCTGGTACTTCCTGGAAAGTCAATCACCCTCTACTCCCCTGGGCTACTGCCACTCCCTTGAGATAACTGAGCTCTGCAGCTACCGGCAATTACCCCCACCAGTTACCTTCCTCCTCCAAGGATGGGTCCTGTCAAACTCATGGCCCCCTCCCAATCATCGGGGCTTAGCAAATTATAGGCTTGTTCAGCCCTCATCCCTTACAGGGGGGGGGGCCCCTCTGTGGCAATTGGACCCCCCACTGAGGTCCCTCCCAGGCTCTGCCCCCAAATCTCCAGGCGTTTCCCAGCCTGGAGCTGGTAACCCACCCCCCTCTTGGTGGCTGGGGGGGACGGGGGACCTGGCAATACTAGCAGTAGGTGATGCGAAAGATCTCCACCTGAAACCCTAGAGAGCTGTTATCAGGCAGAATTGACAATACTAATGCTGAAAGACCAATGGTCTGCCTGGAGCGGTGAAAATGTCTGGAAATTTTGAAGCCATTAAAAAAGAAATCCTGGTTATCTGGGGGAAAACAAGCGTTGGGAAGACCTGAAACAGATGCAATTCTTACTTTCCTGTCATTTCTTAAAATTCTTTAACATAAAAGATTTCTTATTTATAACTTATTTAGCATATAGATTCAGGTGGGTCGCCGTGTTGGTCTGAAGCAATAGAACAAAGCTTGAGTCTAGTGGCACCTTTAAGACCAACAAAGTTTAATTCTTATTATACCCAGAATTAAACTTTGTTGATCTTAAAGGTACCACTGGACTCAAAGCCCTCTCAAAAACCCTCTTCTCCTGCCCATTCCGGGAGACCTCCCAGTTTGTCCGAGAAGTCCCGGTGGAACTTGCGCAACAGTCTAGGGGCCTGAATATCCCCTACTTCCACCCATTCGAGGTCCTGGGGTCCAAAAATCAAGCCATTCCACCAAATAAAACAATTCCCCCCGTTAGCGTTTAGAGTCCAAGATCTTTGAAATTTCATAATGTTCCTCACCCTCGATCATGATAGGAGGGGGCACAGGTTGAAACGAAACACAGAATGAATATTTCTCAGGTTCTTACGAAGATCTAGGTCAACAGCCACATCATTGATCTGTTTCACCTTAAACGGACCAATGTACTTCCACCCTAGTTTCTGACTAGGCCGTAGGACTTTGATGTTCTTAGTAAACACATACACCGAATCTCCAGGCTGCAGAGCCCAACCCTCCACCCTCCTCTTGTCAGCCTGAGCCTTATAAGCCTCCTTGGCCACAGTTAAAGTCTTGCAAATGAGCGGCTACGAGTTCCGTAATTGTTGACACCATTGAGCCACATCCCCTGGCCCCAAGTCATTGGTCCCCTCCAAAAAAGGTACAGGGAGGCTGTCATATCCATACAACACTTTAAAAGGGGATAGTCCTGTAGAGGAATGACACGTGTCATTGTAACAGAACTCAGCCGGGGCAGATCTACCCAATCATCTTGTTGATAATTGGTGAAACAGCGGAGATATTGTTCCAATGTCTGGTTAACCCTTTCCGTCTGCCCATCAGTCTTGGGTTGGTAGGCACTGCTCATGGCCCGTTCGACCCCCATCAGTTTCATAAGCTCCCCCCAGAACCGGGAAACGAATTGGGGCCCCCATCGGATATCACCTTGGCCGGGAGCATATGCAAACGGACTACGTGTAGTAAAAATGCTTTGGCAAGGGCTTTTACCATGGGTAGGGATGTAAACGGAATAAAGTGTGCCTGCTTGGAGAATAAATCCACGACAACCCAAATGACCAACATAGTTTTGCTCAGGGGCAGGTCCGTAATAAAGTCCATGGAAATCACCTCCCATGGGCGACTCTGAGTCGGATGTGGTTGCAGCAATCCAGGAGGTTTCCCCAGCCGAGGTTTACTCATGGCACAAATTTGGCACGACTTTACAAACGAAGATAGATCCTTCCGCATGTGCGGCCACCAGAATTGTCGTTGCGTGAGCTGAAGGGACTTAACAAACCCGGGGTGGCCATTCAACTTCGAGCCGTGCACTGTGTGCAGTACTCCCCCCCCCAGGGAGAGTGGAACAAACAGTTTGTTTCCGCGGTACCAGCAGCCATTGGACCTGAGTTCAAAATTCCCTTCAGCCTCCACCACCCCCGTCGCCCTCTGAGAAGGCGGAGGCGAATTTACTCTGCCATGTCTTCCCACCCGCCTCAGCCGGTGGTGAGGGAAATGACCAACATAGCTCCCTCCAGCCAATGCCGCCAGGTAGCCAGCACGAGGCGGATCGGCCCCGCCTCTTTCTCCCACACTGACCAGTTACGCTCCGTTTCATTGAACTTTCTCAACACGTATGCTAATCCTCTCCCTCTTGGGAGGATTGCACCACCCCACGTCCAACGCGTCCAATTGAATGATATTTGTTTTTATTTTTATGCCGGTACCGGAGGGGTTGAGGATGGGCCTGCCAGGCTATGTGTAGTCACCGCCCTGCCCAGATGGGAGGGCGTGAACACCGAGTCCAAGATGACCTCCTGTTGGCTGTCGTGTTGTGGGAGGCGGGATAGGGCGTCAGCGAGGGAATTCACCGAACTGGGGAAATGGTGAAGTGTAAACTGGAACTTGGAAAAGAAATCGGCCCACCTGAGCTGTTTAGCGTTGAGGCTTCGTGGCATTTTTACATTTCCAAGTTCTTGTGATCAGTCCACACCTCAAAAGGAACCCGCACTCCCTCCAGCCAATGCCGCCAGGTAGCCAGCGCGAGGTAGATCGGCCCCGCCTCTTTCTCCCACACCGACCAGTTACGCTCCGTTTCATTGAACTTTCTCAACACGTGTGCTAAGGGATGTAGCAATCCATCCTCTCCCTCTTGGAGGATTGCGCGCACACACACACACCCCATGGCCACGTCCAACACGTCCAATTGAACGATAAATTTTTTATTTTCATTGGGGTGGGCAAGGACGGGCTCTGACGTGCTTTGAGGCGTTTGAATGCTTCCCGGTACTCTTTACTCAAGGCCAGGGTTGCCCCCGGGCCTTTCCCTTTTGTTTTTAATAAGTCAGTGAGAGGCAAACTGATCCGGGCATAGTTGGGCAGAAAATTTCTGTAAAAGTTCGAAAAACCGAGGAAGGATTATAATTGGCAGCAGATGCAGAGGGTTTCCCATCCCAGTACATCCGCACCTTCCCCGGGTCCATTTCCAGCCTCTTGTCGGATATTCGATATCCCAGGAAATAAATGTGTGACTTGTGAAACTCACACTTGGAGAGTTTCACAAACAGTTTGTGCTTGTGCAACCTGGTTAGAACCTCCCTCACCAATTTCACATGTGAAGGCAAGTCGGGGGAGTACAGCAAGATATCATCCAGGTAAACAATACCCCCCTTAAACAAATGGTCATGCAACACCTCGTTGATCAGGTTCATGAAGACCCCCAGAGCCCCCTGAGGACCGAAGGGCATTATGCAGTATTCAAACTGGCCCAGGGGCATGTTAAAGGCAGTCTTCTGCTCATCCCCCTCCCGTATGCGGACCCAGAAGTAGGCATCCCGGAGATCCAACTTCAAAAAGATCTTTCCTTTAGCCGCTTCAGCTAACACATTTTTGATCAGAGACAAGGGGTAGGCATTGGTCGATGACACCGCGTTTAACCCCCCGATAGTCAGTACACAACCTCAAGCCCCCATTCTTTTTTTTTCCAGACCAGAACTGGGGCCACAAATGGGGAGGAGGCCCGTCAGATGAAAGCCCTGGCTACATTCTTGTCGATAAACTTACGTAGTTCATCCTTCTCGACCGGGCCCATTGCATAAATGCGCCCCTTGGGCAGTTTGTGGCCCAGCAGTATTTCAATGCTGCAATCCGGGTGTCTATGGGGTGGGAGCTCATCCGCTTCCTCTTCTTCGAAAACCCTAGCCAAGTCCCGGTATTCGTGTGTGTGTGGGGGGATGGATAGCAGCTCGTCTTGGGCTAAGCAAACTCTAGGGTTTTCTACTATCGGCTGCAGAACCCACTGCAGGTTCCACCGGTGCAAGTTACACTGGGGAGAGATGAATTGCACCTTCCCTTCGTCCCACAGGATATACGGGTCATGTCCATGCAGCCAGGGGTCCCCTAAGACGAGCGGGAACCTGGCGGCTGGGGTGATCACAAACGACCTTTCTTCCCAGTGATCCCCTGGCCCGACCCGCAATGGGACAGTCTCAAACTCACAAGGTTCTTTCATGGTTGATCCATCCATTTGGGTGAAAATCAAGGGGTCTTGCAGCTTCACCACCCCCGCTTCCAATCCCCTTATTAATGATGGGTTAATGAGGTCCCTCCTGCACCCCGAGTCAATAAGGGATCTCACACGAATATGCGTGCCCAGAGTCGGGTTAATGAGAGTCACAGTCATGGAAAATAGAGGGGGGTAGCTGCTCACTGCTTTTGGCGCCTCCGGGATTGTGCCCTGCTGCTCCGCGCCTCTCACAGCAGGACCTGGCCCTTTCCCGCCGGTTCGTTGCCATCCTCCTCGCTGGACTCGTCCCCGAGTTCCTCCGGGGTTACCTGAAGCACCTTGGCGAATTTTGGTTTCCCCGTCGGCTTCTTTGTTGGGGTGGCAGGGTGCGTTCGCGGGCTCAGGTTGTTTCCCCCCCCCCGGCTCCCCCACAATTGGCAGCGAAATGGCCCCGTTCTCCACACTTTAGGCACAGCCCCTGTCTTATCTGTTGCTCTCGAGTAGACTCGACGGGGTGCACAGATTTCCATTTCTGCTGGGGAGGAGTAGGCTTACCCCCCGCTGTTGCGATGTCCAGGCGCAGGGTGTTCAGGCGAGTCTCCGCGCTCTCCGCCTCTTGCATCCACGCTGGCAAGGAGACTGGGTCTACAGCACGTAAAACCGTTTCTCGGATCTCAGGCTTCAGCCAAATTTTGGACTTTGGCCACGTGCAGCTTAAACTCCGAGGAGTATTCTCTCACCGACCGCTTCCTTTGCTTCAGGGTAAGAATATTCTCTTTGGGCCCAGCATTCTGGTCCTCAAACTGGGCACACAACGCCCACATGAAAGCATCCAAGTTCACCAGCTCCGGACCCCTCGCGCTGTGCAGCCCCACATACCAAGCCGCGGCCGGTCCCCGCAAGTGGGCAGTGACCACATCCACTCGGCTGCTGTCGTCCGGGAAGAGGTGGTCCGACCTTTCCACAAATTTCATCACTTGAACCACAAAATACGACAGTTCCTCTGGATCACCGTCGAACGTGGCTTTGATCAGGTCCTTCGGGTGGTGGTGCAGGAGACCTCTTGGGCTGCCTGGCCGGGCACATCTGCTGGCCGAGGTGGTAGTGGGGGAGCCGGTTGCGCAGGGGGAATCACCAGCGCCGCCGGTTGGGCATCCTGCTCAGCCCTTATGGCTTGGATCACCAACTGAGGGATCGCCTAGATGACTTCCTCCATCTCCCATTGTAGCTGGCGCCTCTCCCAGTCCGCCACCTCCAACCGATGGGCTACTTCCTCGTCCGGGGACACGCGGCCACTCCTCGCCTTGGATCGCTCCGTCACCCAAGTTCCAGATGGTGGCTCCAGAGGTCCCCCAAATGAGGGGAAACCTCTGGCGGATGTAAAACCCAGGTCGAACCGGCAGTCTCTCCGGGGCCCCTGCGTGAGCATATATGTCTCTGCTGTGGACTCCGGGTTAAACTGGCTCCACCAGGAGCTCGGCCGATACCCCGGTCTGGGCGGATGTCTCGGATCGGAGGGATCAGGAACAGATGGGTCGACGTCGTCTTCGGTACGGTTCCCGTGCCCTTAATAGGTACTGTCACCGGCGGTGTGGTTGTTACTGCTAGTCATCTGGGTAGCGGGAATTTCAGTTCCCATTGAGGGGATTGGGCTCCCCTCCTCCGAGGGAACAAGTTTCTCCTCTTCGTCGCTCATCTCGGGTAGAGAGAGTCTCGTAGATAGAGAATGAGGATTCTTAACAGAATGTCAGGTTCCACAGCCAACAACTGAGTACACGCTTGTCAGAAAGTATACTTTATAGCAGAGCTATAGATGCAGTAACATGGTCACTGTTAAGAATGGCGACGTTTCTACAAGCACAATGGGATATAGGGTATTCGTATGCACACACACCCATCCATAGGCCAATTGGCCTGACTCCCGCATGCGGGAGAAGGGGCCCCAGACCGTTAGAGCCGAAGCTGGGAATCGAATGTGATCCCACGGTTACATGATGCCCAGACACCACACCGGCAGTCTCCAAGGTCATTGATAATAAAGCACTACAGAAGCACAGAAGGAATGCAGCAACGGCTGGTACACAGGTCAAGCAAATGAACCTACCCCACAAACATCATGGCAGCATAGCTGACACTGTTTTATTTAGCATATAAAATGGTACTACTTATATTTAGGGACTCTCTCTGTTCTACACAAAAATTGCAAACATATCCAAGACTTGAGAGAGTTACATGTTACACGTTGCTGCACTTTATGCTACTGTGGCATATTTATCTCTCATTTTCACTAACTGATTGGTGGGAGCAAAAGTTGAAGGCAGAAAACAAATTTTCTAGTAAGCAACAGGAAGTGTATTATTTCATCAGTCACAACAGGCAGGGCACCCAACACGTTTGGACATTAATTTAAACTTTTGTTACATTTACAAAACTGAACTCTAATGGTATACTATCACTGAACACATTATAGCATATTAGTTGTTGCCAAAATTATTTACCTATAAACAAAACCTGCTAGAAATTGCTCTATATAGCTATGAGTTTTTTCCAGTGCTCCCCCAAACTTCCCAATTTTTCTATTGGAAAAATAGAGACTTTTTCTTTCTGTACATTTGGAACGAGTGAAATGTTCTGGAAGATAAGATTTTCCTCATTCAAAAAGAATGGTGGACCTCCTGATAATGCCTGGATTTTGGCCACTGGAAAAATGAAAAATTCCTCAGACTTTCCATGCTATACCTTTTGAGTGTGAAAACCCTTGCTTTAAGAAGCATCTCACTCATTCTAAAAAAAAGAAAAGAAAATATTTCACAGGTATTCAAATGTTACAGCTGCATGCAGAATGGGCCCATCCATCCTGTAAATAGAATGTCAGAATCTGCCCTTAATTCTGTATGTACAAAATGGTTTTACAAGCTCGCCGGGATAAAGAAGAAGAAGAGATTGGATTTATACCCCGCCCTTCACTTGGAGTCTCAGAGCGGCTTACAAACTCCTTTTCCTTCCCCTCCCCACAACAGACTCCCTGTGAGGTGGGCGGGGCTGAGAGAACTCAGACAGAGACTGCTCTTTCAGGAACACCTGTGCCAGAGCTTGTGACTGACCCAAGGTCACATCAGCAGGTGCAAGTGGAGGAGTGGGGAATCAAACCCGGTTCTCCCAGATTAGAGTCTGCACACTTAACCACTACACCAAACTGGCTCTCAATGATTAGAGGCAGTGATCTATACTGCTGTGTGCAGCTCATGGCAAGTAGGATCCTATTTATGCAATTCCTGTACCACTGAATGTGTCACGTGAATACTCAAGCTATGCTTCGGTTCTTTCTGGTGGCTCCAGACTTCTAAGACCCTAATGCATTTGGTTTACTGAATGTCTCATTTTCTTGACTGTGCTGACTCAGGATGTGTCACCCACCTTGAGTCCCTGTGAGAAAGGAGGACTATAAACAACATAATAAAAATATCTTACCCATTTTTCCTTACAATTTGATGTAGCTGACACAACCTTGGCACCATGCACGAAAAAAGATCAATTCAACTTTTGTTCTTAAATTAGTGATTCGTGTCTACAGGGTTTTATTCAAGACTACATTTTTATTTACTGCAGTTATACCCCCTATTCAAGACTACATTTTTATTTACTGCAGTTATACCCCACTTGTAGCTCCAATGTGGACCCAAAGCAGCTTCCAACTTTCTCACCCCCGGGCCTCTTTTCGCACACTAGTGGATGATAAGGTGGTCCTTGGGTCTCCAGCTGCGATAGAATGCTGTTGTGGAACTCCTTAAAATAAAAGGCAAAACGTTAGCCCAGCAAAAACCAAGAAAGCTACAATGCTTCAAGTGTACTGTGCAATTAAAATACCCAACTGGACATCTGGACCTGTTTCAAACTCCACACCTGGATAGCTTATAAACAGCAAGCAGGCAGTCAATACAAGTACTTGGAGAGGAGTAATCAAAGGCCACAGGCGAGGTAAGCTCAACCACCTGCCCTTAAGAGGCTCCAAGCCAGCTGATCCATCTTTCCACAATGGTACTTTTTGCTACAATTAGCAAATAGGCTTAAAAAGTATCGTTTTGGAGACTCACTACAAAGTATTTTCTTGGGTTTACATTTCTGTGGCATTGCACAGAGGTCCAGAGCACACAGAACTGTTTCTAGCCACCTGTTCCACAATCCAATCCATTTAATGCCCATGGATTTTCACACCATGTTTTGCAAGACTTCAGCTGGAATCTCAACTAGAATTTTAGGCAAAGAATTTGTCCTCTGAATCCTGCGTCCTCCTGTCTTTTTAAAGAGAAATCTGCTTTAAAGACTGAGAGAAACTGTGACTAGGCCCACAAATGCTCATGCTTTCAGCCCCTAGAAGCCCATATGGGGCCCTAGAAAAGAAGCTCAGTATGAGTGCATGCATCACCCCTCCTCCCCACAAGCTGTCTGAGAGGGAGGAATGTGAGGCTCTGGAAAAGAAGAAGACGCCAGACCAGTTAAAGCAGCCAAATTCTCTTTAGAGACGCAGACTTCTTTTTGCCATAACTGGCAGCTCTCCCTTACCTGTAACTGTGCAGGGTACGCACTCACTGGCACATGCTGACTGAGCAGTAGTTGGATGGGCTTCATTACTTCCTGGAAGGATGGGAGCGATCCATACAGAACAGCACATCTTTTAACAAGATTCAGGCACATGTCTATGCAGGACAGCCTGCAAAACAGCCCCGTCAGAAGTTGAAGCACAAACTGCAATCTCCCGAGTGAAGCTGTAGAACTGCAGGGCGAATGGATCTGGTCCCCAGGGAGTCCCTGCCCCAATATGCTGTGACTGGATGTGCCCTGAAGACACAGGGCCTCGCTGTGGCAGTGGCAGCAGTGGCAACGCATGCAAGAGACAAATGTCCCTCACCACCAGCAGCCAGAGGGACAAGGTTGCGCCCGCGCACAGGACCCGCCTGTACCTTCCCAGCCAGCTTCCCAATTATTTCAGAATCTCAGTGAGGGAATCCTTCCACTCAGCTGCTGCCTGATCACATACCCCGGGGTCCCCAACATTCTTGAGCCTGTGGGTGCATCTGGAATACTGCCAAAGTAGGGTGGATGCAGCAAAAAAATGGCTGCCACAGGAGGTGGGACCAGCGAACAAATTATTGAAGCTGCTAAACTTCAATAACACAGGGCAGCTCCTTGTGCCGTGGTGGCAGCTGCTGCCAAAGCTACATTTTAAAAAAATCAGCACAGCCAATCAAATCGCCAGCAATTGATCAGGAGCCTCACTGGAGAGCTACATGCAGCGTTCCCTCTAAGCTGAGTTAGTGTGAGCTAGCTCACAGTTTTTTAGCCTCTGGCTCACACATTTTTGTCTTAGGTCAGGAAGGATGGCTCCAAAGTGAACTGATTTATGCAGTAGCCAAATTGCTCACTCACAACTTTAATGCCAGTTGCTCACAGAGTTGAATTTTGGCTCACAAGACTCCACCGCTTAGAGGGAGCTTAGCCTACATGGCCCAGCCCACTGACGAAAAACACTTGGCGGGGGCACTAGCAAAGTGTCAGTGGGCACCCTGGCACCCGGGGGAACCATGCTGGGGGACCCCTGCTATGCCCAATACAACCCTGTGGCAAACATATGTTCAAGGAGGAAGAACAGGACACAGCACCTTTCTGCAGGAGCAATGGCAATACAAGAGATTATCTGTTTACATGAGTGGTTCCTGTATCGGTATCAAGTTTGCTGCATGACAGAATCCAAAGCACATTTGCGCACTGTGTGCTCGCGTGGACTGCTGCTGACAGAGAAGGTTCTCCAGATGGAAATAATGAGGGCCTTCCAGCGTAAAAATGGTTTACTTTAAATGGTCTGACTCTTCAGAATGTCTAACACAGTCAAACACAGATTAAAGGGCTCCCAGCATTGTCAATGGCCTGTGAAGCCGACAAGGACAAGGACAAGGATAAGGCATATATGATGGTCTACAAATCAAATCTCCCATTGTTTTTGACCCAATGGAAATGATCTGACACATCCCAAACACATCTCCAAAGTGGTCTGAGCAAGTGACTGACATCAGTTGCTACTTCTTATTCCTACCTGAGATGATTCACTTCTGTTCTGCTATTTTCTTTTGATCCAATTACTGTACGGAGTGGAAGATTTTGCTTTTGCCAGGTCTTTGTGTCTGCTGTCTCACTGATCACAAGGAGGCTGCAGTTTTTATCTAGTGACCTAAAAGGATGCATCAAAGACAGACCTAAAAGACAACGATGCACACAAATGATTAGTTTTCACTGTACAAATCCTGATGTCAAGAGGCACAGATTTAGAATCATCATCGCCAAGGGATGTGGAGGGGAAACCACTGGACAGCAACAAGGAAGAAGAGAACTCTCACACAGAACTGGGAATAAAGTGAGCCTGGGCACTCTGTACCTAGCCCAACATGAGGGGGAAAACCCCACTAAGTCATCTTTACCGTCTCACAACTGTGCAGTGATTCTGCATTGCTCTGGTATGGAAAACCATTTTTGATACCATTCAGTGCTGCATCCGTCCTTGTTTTTAGGTAGATTTACAATACAACTAAGCTGAAGCCCTTGAATTTAACAGATCAGTCAAATGGGACTGATTAAATTCATACACTTTAGATTATCAGGGAATGTAGACAATGCTTATGTGATGATCAGGATGGGAAGCAGCAGGCGCAAAATCTTCACATATTCCTCTCATTTGTCTCAACTTGTGTTTAGGAGAGTCACACCATAGTAGTTAACTTGGTCACTTTTCAAATGAGGAGGCAGGCAGAGACAGACAGACAGACACACACACACACGCACATATGGCCTAGGTATTTATTTCTGTTGCACTTAAGAATGGAATAGGAAAGCAGACACTCCTTTATGCTTACCAGCACTAACAACATTACCTTGGACTCCTCTGCTAGGCACAGCCGTGTGAAGAATTCTCAAGAGGAAGTTGACAAGTTCAGGGATGAATCTTTGAGACACAGATACATATTGCAGGAAGAGACAGCAAACAAACAATCCTTTAACAACGTCTTGCAGGGTTGTCACTGGACACTACAAAACAACCACTTAATTAATGAACAAAGAAAATGACAAATCAGCAATCTATGGTAATTAGCAAGTTTTCAGCAACCATTCAAAAGGTTTTACAAGCTTGCCGGGATTTGAACACACTTAAAACATTAAATTTTTACCCTCCCTAAATGGTGAGAAACATTCCATTAAAGTGCTTGAGAGTCCAGGAAAAGGTATTAAGAAGATACATAGACATTATAGCCATGGAAGCTGTTATTAAGAGCACCGAAGCCTTTGCTGAACAAGTCCATCACCACTGTAGGTAAAATGAGTAAATCTGAGTGCCTGCGAGAAGCTGCACAGAGCTTCCGAGAGAGGAAGCCCCAGGGTACCAGTCCCTGCATGCGTGTGAAGTAAATCAAAGGCAGTTTCACAGCTCCATGGTATGTGAAAGAAGGTGAAGCATCACATAACAGTCTTACATATCTTGTACATAAACAGTAAACAGTGTGCATATCTACGAGTTTGCTCTTTTCTCTTGGCAGGGAAATGAACAAGCTGAGAACAGTGAACATCCTTGGTAATGACCACAGCCTCTCAAAGACTCTGCAGAGATTTAGACCCTCAAAAAACTGCACGAGGCTTAGTCTGATACAGAATGAGCACACAAAGGGCCTGACACCCATCTGGACTCAGCACCTGTGTGTGCCCCTTTGCTCCAAAGCAGGCTGCTCCCTGCAGACTCCTCCTTGCTTCCATTCTAGAAGATGCTGATCACAGGCGTTCCCCCCCCCCAGTCCCACCCTTACAAGGACCCCAACAGTCCCAAGCACAAAACAATGGAGGGGCTTCCCCCTCTCTAATGAAGAATACTGGGAGAAAACTGGATGGATTTGATTATTTGGTTGCAAAAGCTCAGGGTAAATGACAACACCAGCACTCTGCAAAAATCCCCCTCTCCAATGACACTTCCCCAGACCCAGTCTGGCCTCCACAATCCAGGTGGAAGGTCTTGCAGGGTTTTGCTGAGACGTTCCAGCTCAGGAATTGCTGTGCCCTCCCAGACGAAGCAGAGCCCCTCTCATTCAGATGCTATAAAGTCGCTTGACCTGCTTTTAAGGCAGAATCTTAACTACAGTTTCAATAACGTTTTTAATTAGTTTATTGCAGAAAGTATCAATTCTGTGTCCTTAATAATACTGCTGACATACCTTTGTAAGGAGCTGGCTCATATAAACCATTGATGGTGTTACCACAGGATGCCAGTAATCAGAGGTTGGAAAAAGTATCGCAACGATTTTCAAATATATAAGCTGAAAGACACAGAGCCAGTTGTCAATCACCACAGCAATGTACATCCACTGGCTGCTTGAATAAGTTGTTTTCAGCTGGATGGCAAGGCCCCATTATCCCTGCAGCAAGAGAGCCCCGAGCCCCCCTTCCTGCAGCCCTGAGCCCAGCCTCCCCCCCCCCGGTAACATCGGCACACAGAACAGGGGCTGAGCTCAAGTTACATAGCTATTCCCATGCCCGCTCCTGCTTCCATATGTCATTAGGATGGCATGGGACACAACTGCACAGCAGGGGATTCTGAACTGGACCCAAGTCCATTTGAGATTACTGGATGCCCAAGAACATATGCAGTGTTAAGCCGCAGGGCTATTTCTGGGCAGGAACGCACAGGAACGGAGTTCCGGCTGGCTTCAGAGTTGGCCACGCCCACTACAGCCAAAACCTCTGCATGTGTAGCTACAGAGGGAAGGCCTGGAGACCAACCCCCGAGGTGGGCAGGCCGGGGGGGGGGGCTGGATCAGGGAGACATTTAAATGCCTCCCCGTGCCTTCCCCGGCCTGTCCAAGGGCCAGCTTGCCAAGGGAAGGCATGGGGTATGGCCTAATATGCTAATGAGCTGTGCTATCAGGGGTGTTGCTTATTATGCTAATGAGTTCCTGCTGTTGGGTGTGGTCTATTATGCTGGACTGTTCTGTGGATAGCCCATGTCATTCATGAAACCAAGGTGTCCTTCACCAGTAAGACCAGCCAACGTGGGCCTCTTTGGAGATAGAAAAGTTACTGTATTCAGATGAACAGAAGCAGGCCATGGGAGCATCATTAAAAGGAAACATCACATCAGCAGGGTCCTGTAACGGTACAGGCAGTTGTAGGGGGATGTAACTGCACAGCATCTAAATACGTCATCTAAATACAAATACATTCGTATTTTAAGGTGAACATGGCTTTCAGCTTTTTTGCCATCTGGTTTAGGATCAAAAATGATTCTCATTTCCAGCATATTGGTGCCTCTTTCAGAATAAAACAAGTGAATTTATTTTTCTCAATTTTCTGGTCATTTACCATGTCCAGCCCTGGAAATGGTGCACGGCCTCTCGTTTCTAGGATTTCTTCCATGTCATGAGCAGCATCTTGAAGGACAAGTTTCACATGATTACTCGCAGCTTCAGGGAACATTTGGCAAAGATCATACAAGACCCTGTTCACAAGAAACACATGACAGCATCGAATCACTCTATTTGCATTTAACTAAAAAAACAACCAAACAAAGCAATTTAACCAAATGTCCTGGATTACCCTATTAAATTTTGGCCTTTGTGACGCAATATAGTCTCTTTGGAAGACCCCAGCCAAGTACACGCTACTCAGAGCTCTGCACCAGCTCCATGAGAACAATGAATAGCTTTACTGCCAATAAATAAATGACAACTCTCTGAAGCTCAAAAAAATAATAATTGTTTTTTTTAAAAAAGTAACCAGATCTACTATTTAGCTGATGTAACTAAGGTCACTGTGGTCGGATTGGGTACATAACTAATTTACCGCCAAGCAGAAGAATTTAGCAACTTAATCTATCCAGCAATTACAACAGTCAGGCCGGCATTCTTGACAAACAATTCACAAGCCAGAAACTGATGCTGGGCAAAACGCTGGGCACCCCAGCCTGAAGTCTGTGAAAGTAAGTTTGACAGCAACCTAGAACTAGAGGTTACCTAGAGTGGTAGCACCACTGAATGTGTTCTTAAATGCATTTTATGATATCGCACCGCCATCATTATATGAACTGTTTAAATTGTTTATTATGGATTTTTACACTGAGATGTATATTGTTTTATTGGTTTTATGTAAGCCGCCCTGAGCCTGCCTTGGCGGGGAGAGCGGTGTAAAAGTTAAATAAATAAATAAAATAAATAGTGCAATACCTGGTGGAATCACGGAAGGGATCTCCAGGGTCATCTAGTCCAACCCCCTGCACAAGGCAGGAAATTCACAAATACCTCCCCCCCCATACCCCCAGTGGCCCCTGCTCCATGCCCAGAAGATGGCAAAAAACCCCTCCAGGATCCCTGGCCAAACTGGCCTGGAGAAAAATTGGTTCCTGGCCCCAAAGTGGCAATTAGCACTTCCCTGGGTGTGTAAGAAAGGGCCACGAGAACGAAGCACTGAGACAATCCTTCCTGGCCTCCTTCTCATGATCTGCCTAAGTTCACACAATCAGCATTGCTGTCAGATGGCCATCTAGCCTCTGTTTGAAAACCTCCAAAGGAGAGCCCACCACCTCCCGAGAAAGCCTGTTCCACTGAGGAACCACTCTGTCAGGAAGTTCTTCCTAATGTTTAGCTGAAAATCCATTGGTTGTGGTCCGACCTTCTGGGGCAACAAAAAACAACTCTGTACCATCCTCTATATGACAGCCCTTCAAGTACTTGAAAATGGTTATAAGAACATAAGAGACGCCAATGTTGGATCAGGCCAAAGGCCCATCCAGTCCAACACTCTGTATCACACAGTGGCCAGAAATACCAGGTGCCCTCAGGAGGTCCACCAATGGGGCCAGGACATTAGAAGCCCTCCCACTGTTGACACCCCCCCCCCAAGCACCAAGAAGACAGAGCATCACTTGCCCTAGAGTCCCTATCTATACCTTGTGGCTAATAGCCACTGATGGACCTCTGCTCCATATGCTTTAAATCCCTTTTGAAGCCGTCCATGCTTGTTATCGTTATCACCACTCAGTTGTCTCCTCTCCAGGCTAAACATTCCCAGCTCCTTCAACCTTTCCTCATAGGACTTGGTCTCCAGGCCCCTCACTGTCTTCGTTGCCCTCCTCTGGACACGTTCCAGCTTGTCTATATCATTCTTAAACTGTGGTGTCCAAAACTGAACACAATACTCTAGGTGAGGTCTAACCAGAGCACAGTAAAGCGGTACCATCACTTCATGCAATTTGAACACTATACTTCTGTTGATACAGCCCAAAATCGCATTTGCCTTTTTAGCTACAGCCGACTCATGTTCAGTGTATGATCTACTAAGACCCCTAGATCCTTTTCGCACAGACTACCGCCAAGAGAAGTCAGACCCAACCTATAATTATGCATTTGGTTTTTCCTACCTAAATGCAGAACTTTATATTTATCCCCACTGAAATTTATTAAATTTCTTTTAGCCCAGTTTTCCAGCCTGTCAGATCATCCTGTATCCTGACTCCGTCTTCTACCATATTTGCTACCCCTCTCAATTTAGTATCATCTGCAACTTTAATAAGCATTCCCTCTATCCCTTCATCCAAATCATTGATAAAGATGTTGAACAAAACAAGTTCCAGCACAGATCCTTGAGGCACTCCATTTGTCACTCCTCTCTTAAGAGGATGAGGAACCATTCACAAACACTCTTTGGGTGTGATCTGTCAATCAGTTACAGATCCACACAACAAACAAAGGATCCAAACCACATTTTACCAATTTATCAACAAGAATGTTATATGGAACCTTATCAAAAGCCTTACTGAAATCAAGATAAACTATGTCTACAGCATTCCCCTGATCCAGCAATGTAGTAACTTTCTAAAAAAAAAGAGATAAGGTTAGTCTGACATGAGTTGTTCTTGAGAAACCCATGGTGGCTCTTAGTAATCACAATGTCCTTTCTAAATGCTCTAGGACTGTCTGTTTGATGATTTGTTCTAAAACTGTCTCAGATATAGACGTCAAGTAGTCACCCGGATCCTCCTTTTCCCCCTTCTTGAAGATGGGGACAACATTTGCCCGCCTCCAATCTTCTGGCACCTCACCTGTTCTCCAAGAATTCTCAAAAATAGGCTCAGAAATTACATCCGCAAGTTCTTTTAGTACCCTTGGATGCAGTTCATCTGGCCCCGAGGCCTTAGTTTCATTTAAAGAAGCTAGGTGTTTATGTACTACCCCCTATGCTGATCTTAGGCTGCTTAGGGTGCCGGTAGGGCAGTCCCCATCCCCAGCATATGTGGCCATAGGTAGGGATAAGCAATTAACTGTAAGCCGCTCAGAGACCCCCTGGGGGTTCGAGCGGGGTAGAAAGTTGAAAGATAAATAAATAAATTCCCTTCCCTCATCATGTATTCTGATTCTGCCATGTTTCAACGCCGTTTCCCTCACAAGAGAAGACTAAGAAAAAGCAGGAATTTAGCAGTTCTGCCCTCTCTTCATCACCTGTTACAATTGCACTTTCCTGTCCCTGCAATGGGCCTACCATGTCCTTGCTCTTTTTCTTACTTTGAACATAACACAGGCAAGTTATGAGACAGTATGAACGCCACACTGTTTGATATAGATAGAATAAAGAAGCTCCCCGAAAGCCATCAGAGCTCTCCTTCCTCATCCTTCTTACAAAAAAAGGGAACAGAAAGCTTTTAAGTAGCATGCCTAATTAGAGAAGTGGGTCTGCCTTAAAGGACAGGCCATGACAAGCAAATTAGAAGGGAGTCAGGCAGCCAGCACAGCAGCGGAGAAGCCAGCCTAGGAAGCCCTCTCCATCAGGGATAATTTACTGAGAAAATATTTCTGGAAACAAATGGACAATCCCTGGAGAATGGGGCTTTAAAGCTACTTTGGGTGTGTGTGTGTGTATGTCTATATAGAGGGGGAGGGGGGAGAGAGAGAGGCAGGGAAGGGGCAGAATCAGAGGGAAGAGGTGTGAGGCTTTACAACTTTCATAACGTTCTAACATCAGGCTGAACTCTGTATGCCCTTCCTTTGGTTCTTTCAGACAGGGCATTTAGCCCACACCCTTTCACATACACATCTGTACTTTTATAGACAGCAACATGTGGGCTGGCTGACCGGACTGATGGAGGCACTTGAAGTTGTCAGGGCATTTCCCAAGGACCTAAAATCCCAGGCCTTGATATATGTCCAGGGTACCAGGAAAAAAATATATGACAATGGCACATTTGTACAACTTTTCAGAAACAGTTGACCATGCTTGGAAAACACAAGCCTCTTTTGCCAGGATTTGGTTAAAACGACTTTCTCTTTATCACATCCTAGATTAAGGTGAAAATGGAACGAATGGCTATGCGTTTGGTAATCCACAGCATGCTGTAGGTCAGCTATCTTTCAGCCCCTCATCAGGAAAATGCTGCGGTTGGTTCCTTCTCCCCTCCCTCTGCTCAGATAAGTTCTACCATTCCTTTGCTGGTTACAGTAGTTTTAATACCCCAATACATCTACACTACGGTTAATGTTAAAATTAGATATTTAAAGGCCTGGAAACAATCCAGGGGTGGAAACTACTGAGAGGGTCAAAAATACTGATTTTACTGACCAAAATTCCAAAAAAACTGACCAAATACTGTCAAAAACTGACAAATTACTTAACAATTTAATGTCAGCCTACTGAGAAGCTAGCGTTTTAAACGTAAAACTAGGACTTCATTAAAAATGATTATCTGGCCTCCACCATCCCCATAGCCAGCCCCATAGTTAGATGTGACCCAGATAAAAGGATTGCACACTTTTTATTGGATTTTTAATGAATAGACAATGTTTTCATTATTGTACAAAATTTAAGGCAAAAAAGATTCCCTTTTATTATTTGCAGTATGTGCTAATTTTTAAAACAACAAAAACGTATTAAAAATCAAACATAAAGTAATAATTATGACAACAAAACATAATTACTGTAAGATAAGACTTGTCTTTGCTTTTACTTTATCTTTGGTTTTTTGATGAAAAAAGAACCGGCCAGCAACCTGCCATCCCTGGTGGAGGCCGTGGAGGCCTGGGCATTGGGACACCCTGCGTGATTTCAATGTCCATGCGGACAATGTGGCCTCCACTCAAGCAATGGACCTAGTGTCCTCCGTGGGGGCGCTGGGACTCTCCCAATATGTAACAACTCCCACTCACCGGGCCGGACACACGCTCGATCTGATCTTCACGGCAGGGGTCACAGTGGACTGGGTCACTGCCTTAGCAGTGCCATGGTCAGACCATCATACCCTGAAGAAGGCCCATCTGAATGTTTCACCTCGACCCTGTTTGGAAGGCGAACAGGTTTCAACTCCCCTGCGGAGCCTAATGGACCCTATGTGGTGCCAAATGGCCCTGCGGGATCCGATGCCCCCTGGCGGCTTGTTAGATGAGCTTGTGGAGGATTGGCACAGCTGACTCTCAGCAGCCATCGATGAGATCACTCCCCGACGCCCTCTGCGCC